GGTTCTGCTGTAGCAGTGTGATGTGGTGGTTCTGCTGTAGCAGTGTGATGTGGTGGTTCTGCTGCATCAGTGTGATGTGGTGGTTCTGCTGTAGCAGTGCGATGTGGTGGTTCTGCTGTAGCAGTGTGATGTGGTGGTTCTGCTGTAGCAGTGTGATGTGATGGTTCTGCTGTAGCAGTGTGATGTGGTGGTTCTGCTGTAGCAGTGTGATGTGGTGGTTCTGCTGTAGCAGTGTGATGTGGTGGTTCTGCTGCATCAGTGTGATGTGGTGGTTCTGCTGTAGCAGTGCGATGTGGTGGTTCTGCTGTAGCAGTGTGATGTGGTGGTTCTGCTGTAGCATGTGAGTATGGTTCTGCTGTCAGTGTGATGTGGTGGTTCTGCTGTAGCAGTGTGATATGGTGGTTCTGCTGTACAGTGTGATGTGGTGGTTCTGCTGTAGCAGTGTGATGTGGTGGTTCTGCTGTATCAGTGTGATGTGGTGGTTCTGCTGTAGCAGTGTGATGTGGTGGTTCTGCTGTAGCAGTGTGATGTGGTGGTTCTGCTGTATCAGTGTGATGTGGTGGTTCTGCTGTAGCAGTGTGATGTGGTGGTTCTGCTGTAGCAGTGTGATGTGGTGGTTCTGCTGTATCAGTGTGATGTGGTGGTTCTGCTGTAGCAGTGTGATGTGGTGGTTCTGCTGTAGCAGTGTGATGTGGTGGTTCTGCTGTAGCAGTGTGATGTGGTGGTTCTGCTGTATCAGTGTGATGTGGTGGTTCTGCTGTATCAGTGTGATGTGGTGGTTCTGCTGTATCAGTGTGATGTGGTGGTTCTGCTGTATCAGTGTGATGTGGTGGTTCTGCTGTAGCAGTGTGATGTGGTGGTTCTGCTGTATCAGTGTGATGTGGTGGTTCTGCTGTAGCAGTGTGATGTGGTGGTTCTGCTGTATCAGTGCGATGTGATACTTCTGCTGTATCAGTGTGATGTGATGGTTCTGTAGCATTGTGATGTAGTGGTTCTTATGTAGCAGTGTGATGTGGTGGTTCTGCTGTAGTAGATTGATGTGGTGATTCTGCTGTACCAGTGTGACATGATGGTTCTGCTGTACCAGTATGATGTGGTGATTCTGCTGTATCAGTGTGATGTGGTGGTTCTGCTGTAGCAGTGTGATGTAGTGGTTCTGCTAAACCAGTATGATGTGGTGGTTCTTCTGTATCACACTGCGGTAGCAGTGTGATGTGATGGTTCTGCTGTAGCAGTGTGATGTGGTGGTTCTGCTGTAGCAGCGTAATGTAGTGGTTCTGCTGTGCCAGTATGATGTGGTGGTTCTTCTGTATCACACTGCTGTAGCAGTGTGATATGGTGGTTCTGCTGTATCAGTGTGATGTGATGGTTCTGCTGTAGCAGTGTGATGTGATGGTTCTGCTGTAGCAGTGTGATGTGGTGGTTCTTCTGTAGCAGTGTGATGTGGTGGTTCTTCTGTAGCAGTGTGATGTGGTTCCTGTATGTGCAGTGGCGGCAGTTTGTGCTGGTACACCTTTCTTGCTGGTGCCAGGATGCGCAAGGCACTCCAGGGGTGCTGGCTTCAGGATGTGCAAGGCACCCCGATAGTGCTGGCTCCAGGATGTGCAAGGCACCCCGATAGCGCTGGCTCCAGGATGTGCAAGGCACACCGGTAATGCTGGTGCCGGGATGTGCAAGGCACCCCAATGGTGCTGGCTCATGGATGTGCAAGGCACCCCAATAGTAGCTCCAGGATGTGCAAGGCACACCAGTGATGCTGGCGCCGGCATGTGCAAGGCACCCCAATGGTGCTGGCTCCAGAATGTGCAAGGCACCACGATAGTGGCTCCAGGATGTGCAAGGCACACCGGTGATGCTGGCGCCGGCATGTACAAGGCACCCTAATGGTGCTGGCTGCAGGATGTGCAAGGCACTCCGATAGTGGCTCCAGGATGTGCAAGGCACACCGGTGATGCTGGCGCCGGCATGTGCAAGGCACCCCAATGGTGCTGGCTCCAGGATATGCAAGGCACCCCGATGGTGGCTCCATGATGTGCAAGGCACACCGGTGGTGCTGGCGTCGGGATGTGCAAGGCACCCCAATGGTGCTGGCTCCAGAATGGGCAAGGCACACCGGTAATGCTGGCGCCGGGATGTGCAAGGCACCCCGATGGTGCTGGCTCCAGGATGTGCAAGGCACCCCGATGGTGCTGGCTCCAGGATGTGCAAGGCACCCCGATAGTGGCTCCATAATGTGCAAGGCACACCGGTGATACTGGCGTCGGGATGTGCAAGGCACCCCAATGGTGCTGGCTCCAGGATATGCAAGGCACACCAGTGATGCTGGCGCCGGGATGTGCAAGGCACACCGGTGGTGCTGGTATCATAAATTAAAAAAAAAAAACTGTTTATGTAGGCTTTTTCGTTAATTTTCCCCACAAAATATAAGTGTGTGTAGGCAGCAGCAGCGACGCTGGACGAATTTAAGAGACGACCTAAGATTCTGAGTCACAGTCACACGAACTCCTCCTGTTGATAGTGGATTTATACACTAATAACCCTCATATAGGAGAGAGGAGCTTACGAATTCGTTTCGGACCGAAACGTCGTGGTAAGCTCCTGTATCTCCTATGTGCGGGTTATTTGTGTAGTGTTCCAGTCATGGTATTGTGACTTTCATGTTATTTTTCTTAACGGTGAAATTATTTCGTTTCGCATTTTAGGCAAAAATTTGCAGCCCATAGAAAATAGAAAGCTAAAAGAAAAAGATGAATTTTAAGGTATTGTAGTGAGCTCTTTTTTTTTCGGGGGAGAGAGCATCTCCAAATATGAAAATACATTTAATAAGATTTAGCTGAGGTGAAAGTAAGAATGTGATATTTATGAGGTATATAAACACGTTTTACTTGGCAGGAAGCAGCCTCTGGCAGAGGCTCAGTTTACAACATACATCAGTTAACAGGAAGGTATATGATTCCTCTGATGCACTGTGCTGCTGCTGCGCTTGTCAAGCTTTGTTGAATTGATGATTCTCCTGAAGCTCTTCCCGTAGCGCTACAGTGCAGTTGCTCTCATCTTTTAGTCGATTCCTTTTAACCACTTCCCATAGCGCTACAATGTTGCTGTCATCTTTTAGTTGATTCCTCTTAACCACTTCCCGTAGCGCTACAATGTTGCTGTCATCTTTTAGTTGATTCCTCTTAACCACTTCCCATAGGGCTACAATGTTGCTGTCATCTTTTAGTTGATTCCTATTAACCACTTCCCATAGGGCTACAATGTTGCTGTCATGTTTTAGTTGATTCCTCTTAACCACTTCCCATAGCGCTACAATGTTGCTGTCATCTTTTAGTTGATTCCTCTTAACCACTTCCCGTAGCGCTACAATGTTGCTGTCATCTTTTAGTTGATTGCTCTTAACCACTTCCCATAGGGCTACAATGTTGCTGTCATCTTTTAGTTGATTGCTCTTAACCACTTCCCATAGGGCTACAATGTTGCTGTCATCTTTTAGTTGATTGCTCTTAACCACTTCCCATAGGGCTACAATGTTGCTGTCATCTTTTAGTTGATTCCTATTAACCACTTCCCATAGCGCTACAATGTTGCTGTCATGTTTTAGTTGATTCCTCTTAACCACTTCCCATAGCGCTACAATGTTGCTGTCATCTTTTAGTTGATTCCTATTAACCACTTCCCATAGGGCTACAATGTTGCTGTCATCTTTTAGTTGATTGCTCTTAACCACTTCCCATAGGGCTACAATGTTGCTGTCATCTTTTAGTTGATTGCTCTTAACCACTTCCCATAGGGCTACAATGTTGCTGTCATCTTTTAGTTGATTCCTATTAACCACTTCCCATAGCGCTACAATGTTGCTGTCATGTTTTAGTTGATTCCTCTTAACCACTTCCCATAGCGCTACAATGTTGCTGTCATCTTTTAGTTGATTCCTCTTAACCACTTCCCATAGCGCTACAATGTTGCTGTCATCTTTTAGTTGATTCCTCTTAACCACTTCCCATAGGGCTACAATGATGCTGTCACCTCTGAGTTGATTCTTCTTAACCACTTCCTTTATACTGTGTTGTTGCTGCAATGTCTCTCGTTCAATTCTCTGAAGCCCTTCTCTCATTGTCTTGCTTCTGCCATGCATGGTGTTGACGAACTCTTGAAGGTCTTACCTTATATTGCTCCTGCCAAGCCTTACTGAGTTCATGAAATAAATTGAAACTTATTATAAAAGCCTTTTATTTAATAAGGTTTCTAATATGTTACGTGGAAACCATAACACGGGCGGGGATAGAACCTGCGACCAGAGAGTCTCAAAGCTCCAGACCGGAGTTTTGAGACTCTCTGATCGCGGGTTCTATCCCCACCCGTGGTATGGTTTGTTTGCAATCGTGTCATTACGTGTGAGTCATGTTATGTGGAAGTCATAAAGCTGTGTTCATGAATGAATAACTTTAACTTCTATCAAATTCCTGGAAAGTGTGTCCGGGAACTAACAACTCAGAGTAAAATACAATAAATAAATTATTAGATATTTGTCGTGTGTGAGATGAAAAGAGAGAGAGAGAGAGAAAGAAAAGTTGGTGGCGAAAGAGAGAGAGAGAGAGAGAGAGAGAGAGAGAGAGAGAGGAGAGAGAGAGAGAGAGAGAGAGAGAGAGAGAGAGAGAGAGAGAGATGACCGGAGCGGCTGTGATCCTCTCCCGTCAGCGTGAGGTGAAACACTAGAGGTGGGAGGGCCTGGGGATGGCACTCTGGCAGCCCTGCCACCCTCACTGCCAACTGCTATACACGCACAACCAGAAATAAAACACCACCTGGCTTCACCTTTACACTCCACCCTCCCCCCTTCCCTTCGTTTGATCATATGCTACTCGGGATGACTGCCAAATCATTTAGACTATAACTATCACGTTTAGGGTTGAGGAGGGAGGCGGGTGTTCGAAAAATTACGGTGAGACGACAACAAGAGAAAGGGTGAGCTTACCTGTCCCCGCTTTTGGCGCGCAGGCCCGGGAGAGGCAGCTCAGCGGTGAATGCCACTCTTCTTCCTCAGTGTGCTTTGGCAGCGGGTACCGGTCGTGTCCCCTTTGCTAGCACGCGATCATGGCTAGCAGAGGGAGAGAATGTATGTGATTTTCCCCCTGGACGACTTGTTAGATCTGAATAGTGCGAGAGGAAGTAAACGTGAGACATCGTGGTCGTCGTCCCAACAGAGTCATAAGAGAGAGACTGTGCAAGTTTTGACTCCTTCCCAACCTAACCAACAACTTCCCAGTCAACTTCAACCTCCCTTGAATCAGCTGCTCCCTTATCCTCAAAAGTCAACACCACCTCAACAACAAAAACAGCAGCAACAACAGCAACAGCAGCAACAACAACAACAACAGCAACAACAACAGCTAAAACTACAGAAAACTACTTTTCAAAAGACACCGTCCAAAGCGTCCACTAGTAGCCAACCCTCCCCGCTTAGTCCTTACCAACCTAGCAGTGTTCCTAGCAGTAGCAGTAGCAGCCATAATAGTTCTCTGAAGCAGCCGCCTCAGGCCAAGCACCGAGCTCTGCCAGAACTGTTGGTGAACCAGCGCCAACCATCAACTTCCACGGAAACCTCCGTCTCCTCCACTGGTGCTAAGGCAAAAGTCTTGCTGAGTCTGCCGACTTCTGGAGGAAAAGTTAGCGAGAGTCTCTCTTCCTGGGCCGGGAGTCCTTCAGGACCCCCGGGGGAGCCCTTGGTGGGCGGCGGCAGCAGCAGCTTCAAGACTCGGGACGACCATAACACTGACAGCGGTAGTCAAGGTTTATCTGCCTCCAATAGCCATAAATTTTATAGCTTAAGAATTAGAAATCAAAGAGGCAGTGAGAGTCCTCGGGATTTTCGTGACAGTGGAAATATTAAGACTCAGTTCAGTGGAAGTCAGAGCTTCAGGTCCCATATTGTTAAAAGTGAAAGTTTCAGGTCCTACCTGAGCACTGGCGGGGCTCACAAGTCCCAGCCTGTTGCTGATATAGCGAAGTCTCAGCCACTAGTCGCTGAGAGTGTCAAATCACAACAGGCGCCTGTTGCTGAGAGTGCGAAATCGCAGCAGGTGTCCGCCGGTGAGTGTATCAAGGCTCGGCAGGAGCCTTTGCAGCAGTCGCAGAATTCCCGCCGACCCCCTGCTCAGAGGCACCCCAGCGGCAGGAGCAGCCACAGTTCGGGAAGCCAAAGGGCTTCTGATCCCTCCCCTTTCTCTGGTCCAGCTCCTGGTGCCTCTGGGGGCGCGGCAGCAGGGGTTCGAGGGAGCGGCATAAACACAAAGATTGGAGCCAGACCTCGTGGCCTGCAGAAGAGCGTCATGGCAAGCGAGGTCAGCTTCCGTGACCTCACGTTCCCATCCGCTAACGAAACACTCAAGGCTCAGAACTCTGCCACCTTCAAACTCGTCAAAACAGGTAAGATCACCTGCAGTCTTGTGATGACGTTGTCAGTGCCATTTACACGCGTGTTGCTTATACCTGTTAATTTCTGTGCCGTTATGCGTTACAAAGACTTCAACTCCGTTAAGCGTCTTAATACGAATGATCAAAACTACTAAAACTTATAAAAAAATTGGTATGTGATGCAGACAGGGTGTTGGAAAGGCACAAAATACAAACACTAGGACATTTATTAGAGTGGCCAAGGTGACAGGACCGAAATATTTCCAATAAAATGTCCAGTTTACATTTTTCCTTTTTTTCTTAACGACACTTACTAAGCATAACATAATGCCAGAAATATGTATTTCTGGCGTTTTTATTTTTTTTAATTTGCACAAAGAGCTAAAGAAGAGTAGTCTGCTGACAGTCAATGGTGGTAAATTAGGAAAATTGTCAGTTCTAATCTGTGGCCGTAGGCAATATCTATTTACGTCTACAATAGGAGAGACAGAGAGAGGGTTGGGGAGGGAGGGAGGGAGAGAGATGGGGGGAAATGGGAGTTGTAGGGAAAAAGGGAGGACTGGGAGGATGGAAAGATAGAGTGTAGAATGAGAGGGAAAGAGAGAGGGTGGAGGAGAAGAGGGGGAAGGGGAAAAAGGAGAGAGATCTAAGAGTGAAGATGTAGGGAGGATTGAAGAGGCACAGATACATAGAGGTTGTTTGCTTATTTGTTTAATTCATATTAAACGCTAAACCTACGTGGGTGATTCAGCCCAAGGCGTGGTGGAGGCTTGAATCTCCGTCTGCTGAGCGCGAGACTGACGCGCTTCCTATTTGTACTCACGTGGAGGTGCATGTGGTGGATGAGGCTGAGGCTCCCAGGACGAGGATGAGGAACCTTGGTGCCTGGCCAATACCCGGGTCACTCGGCTCTTTGTATTTTTAGTCAGCTAATGTTTAAGCTTGTGTCATCTTACTTTACACGTGCCACAATGCTCCCATTATTCCACGCTCAGCATAACAATGCTGTGGCTAGTCCCTTACCCTTTACCTCCCTTGATGCCAGGTGCTGAACGATGGATGGCTTAGGATCAGCATTAATCCGTGTATCTGGAATATTAAAAATATTTTTAAATGTATTGTCAGGGGCTGGATTTAGGGCCTACTAGGTCTGGAGATGAAAATTTTTCACGGCTTATACGCTAGAATTCAAATAGAAAATAATAATGCAGTTATTTTTCATCGTTACCGCATTACACACATACATATACACTGTTACTAAGTCCTTCATAATGTTAGTGCATTTTTATTCATTGAGAAAGGAATGTACGTTATTTATTGCATATTTCTCTACTGTACGTATGTATATTGCGCAAGTTCACGTTTGAGTTTCGTATTGCGTTTGGTTTTCCACGTTTTATTCCATTTTTTTTAATAACTATACTCTCTGTCACTTGTCATGTAATTATTTAACGATTTCAGTGGTCGTAGTCGTTGCTACCTCCTCTTGGATTCCATTGCTTCAGTCTACCACCTTGTGAAGCTCCTTGTGGTTCCTATTCTCTCTCCTGGTTTACATTTATGACCTTTGGTTCACACAGCAAAATAATTTTTTGTCTTCTCGTACATTTTCTTGACGTCGTATATAATTATCATGTTTTTTCTTTTTATTATATTAGCCAACTAAGGTGTTTTAAAGTGTTTTCAGAATGCAAGGTTAATCTCTGTTTGCTCTGGAAACCATTTCCTTGGACTTGTTTTTTATCCCCTTGTCTACATGTTGTCAAGCTGTCGTCGAAACAATATTATTACAGCTGCGGGGTTCTATGTCGACCCCGCGTAGTTGCGTGTTAACCATGTCTCTCACCCATAGAAAGAGTTTTTTGAAATGTGGGGAAGTCAATAGTAACAGCCTGGTTGATCAGACCCTGCTCCCCCACGGGGTCTGGTCTCAGACCAAGCCGCGGGGGCGTTGACCCCCGAAGCCCTCTTCAGGTATATTCCAAGTAAGTCTCATACCACGGGTGGGGTTAGAACCCGCGTTCAGAGAGTCACAAAACTCCAGACCGACGCGTTAGCCAGGAGTAGCTTGTCTGGTGATTACCGGACTTTTGTCCGGTAATCGCCAGACAAGCGACTCCTTGCACCGAATGGCCCATACGGTATTTACACTTCACATAAATGAAACATGTTTTGAAAATTGCCAGTGCTGTATTTACTAGCAGTTCTAGGGATTATCTTCCCCAAGGCTCGGTCCCAGACCAGGTCCCTCAGGTAGGAAAAAAATATTAAAGGATTGTGAACTGTGAATAGTTCTGTATATAGTTCTACTGTCTTCAAATTATGTCCTAGAATCTGTATTGATAAATCCACTGGATGGCGAAACGTCTACAATAAAGATACCCAGATGTTGTACATGTGTCTCAGTTTTCAACTATTAAGAATACATATAACCCGCACATAGGAGAATAAACTAATGATTAGTTAATGGTCCAAGACGGATTAAAACGTCGTCGTAAGCTTTTCTCTCCTAAGTGCGGGGTATATGTGTATTATTTCAGTCACGGTATTGTGACTTTATTCTTCATTAAGAAGTACATAAGAAAGTAAAGGAATGGAAACAGAAGTCTGCAAGTTTTAACAGTCATCTTATGTGTTCTTGAGACAAGACATCAGCAATCCTGGCAGAGAGTGAATAAATTAAAGGGTTTCTATTTCGCGCTCTTACCGTAGGTAGAACGTTTCAGAAAAACCGTTCAACGATGATTCAGTACGTCCTGGATCATTATAAATAACTGATAAGAAAAATAAGAACACAGGAGGACAGAGATAAACTGTAAGAAAACTCGGGCAGAGTGCAGGAGTGGTCAAAAAAATGGCTATTTGTGTTCAATACAAACAAGTGGAAAATAGAGTAAGTCGGAGAGGGTTAAGGAAGACCAGATAGTGCATGAACAGGGAGGGATGAGGTTACAAAGAGTAAATGAAGAAAGTTCCTGGAAGGGGTTATTATACCGAATGTTGTATATATAGGTATAAAATACCGACAAGATGAAGTATTAGACACCTAGAATTAGATACCCGTAATCAGACACCCAGAATTAAACACCCAGAATTAGATACCCAGATGTTGCAAGTGTCTAATTCTTCATTACACCGAATATATGGTCAGAGATGCATATATAGTGCCTTCGAGGTGCTTTCGTGGAGCTCAATAAGGAATCCTCCTGAACTTTCTGCACGACGTTTGCCAGACTTGTCTTAAAACAAAATATGCGGCAACCAGCATGGAATCCAGACTTCAGAAGCTGGTTCCAGCAGCGAGAAGACTTCAGAAACTGGAGAAAGTACACGAGGCTGGTTCCAGCAGCGAGAAGACTTCAGAAACTGGAGAAAGTACACAAGGCTGGTTTCAGCAGCGAGAAGACTTCAGAAGCTGGAGAAAGGACACAAGGCTGGTTCCAGCAGCGAGAGGACTTCAGAAGCTGGAGAAAAGACAAAAGGCTGGTTCCAGCAGCGAGTAGACTTCAGAAGCTGGAGAAAGGATACAAGGCTGGTTCTAGCAGTGAGAAGACTTCAGAAGCTGGAGAAAGGACACAAGGCTGGTTCTAGCAGTGAGAAGACTTCAGAAGCTGGAGAAAGGACACAAGGCTGGTTCCAGCAGCGAGAAGACTTCAGAAGCTGGAGAAAGGACACAAGGCTGGTTCCAGCAGCGAGAAGGTTGAACTATGAAGAGAATATCAAACAGTTAAATCTAGCAACATTTTAAAAGCGAATTAACAGGGAGATAAAGACTAAGAGAATACTGAGAGAATTCCACAGAGCGGAGAGCGATGGAGTGTTTGAAGAATGAGGAACGTAAGGGAGAGGTCATAGGTGGAGCAAAGAACACAGTCGAGCCTTAGGACGGAAAAGAAGTGAAGTGAGTTTGAGTTGAGGAGGTGGAGGCAAATTCCATGCACAGGACAGAGACCAGGAACCAGTAAATGAGGGACATTTTTTTTAGTTAAAAGGCAGGAGTTTGAAGCTAAGCCTCGACCCCCATAGAAACCTCTCCTTGATGAACTCATCTTCCTCTCACACACACACACACACACACACACACACTCAACTCCCGCCACACATACACCCTCACAAACACACACATCACCCACACACAACCCCCCACACACGCAACCCCCACACGCAACCCCCCACACGCAACACCCACACACAACTCCACACACAAACAAGCCTTCCACAATCCCCGCAGACAACCCCCACACACACACCCGTACACATACCCCAGATACACCTCACAAACAAGAACACTCTCCATAAACACAACATACACACACACACACACTTCACAAAAAAGAACACTCTCCACAAACACAGTACACACGCACACACACACACACACACACACACACACACACACACACACACACACACACACACACACACACACACACACACACACACACACACACACACACACACAAACCCCACACGCAGGTAAATAAATTGCAGGATGTCACCACCAGCTCCACTGTGTGCGGTAGAGATATCTTTGGGATAGCTGGCAGGTTGCAGTACCAACGTAGGTAGGCAGACATTGCCTTCACTAAAATAAATATAAGATTTATAATTCTCAAAGACTCAAACATTTAAGCTTGTCAGTGTTAGTGTCACATAAAATCACTAATATGGTGAAATGTTAAACGATGAAGAATACATTTATATGTATCTATAAGCATTTTTCCTTCTAAGCTGTGCTAGCGATGCCTCTCAATAAACTGTCTAGCGCCGCGCACACAACACTGTGAGACTGCCACATTCTTAGTGATGGTGACTTTAGGATCATCAGTGACTTGCTTGTATTTTAAGTTATTTTTTGTAGTTGCAACTGTGTTTCTTCATATATATGCTGCATGACCCTTGTCGGTTTAGCGCTTTCTTTGAGTATACCTGCAGCACATCTGCACATTAGACATATACTTCAGCACATTTAACCTTTGGTTTACACCTAGGTGGACAACTTTTAGGGGACC